CTGCTTTACACTTTTTTTCAAAAGGGGGTTTTGTTAAATATCGAATGTAATAATCGTTGTTTTTCTTTTTTTTTTTGCGAATCCACCTTGTTCCTTTTGTGTCGTCAAATGTGACAAGAAACAACAGCTGATGAAGTTTCACCGTCTGACACCACAAATTCTCGTTTAATAGAATAATTGAGGAGAATGATCAAAGTGTTAATATACAAAGACAGAAAAAAGTCAGTTTCGCTCATCTGTACAGTTGATTATCTCAAAGGAAATGTGCGAGTGAGAATATGTAAAACCAGCCATTTGAGAGAGAGAGAGATCAGATTCACATAGCATGCCATTTATTCCCAATGCGCACCAGCCATTAGTTAAGACATGGGAATATTTTGCAGTCAAATACTTTAGATACCATATAAATCTGTTTGCTTTATCTGATGCGAAATTATGTATAGTTACTTGTTGAACATGAGAATACTTGTAATAGTGAAATATTAATAATGCCTATATTGTGATCTCTTGCTTCGAGTAGCAGATAATTGCAATTCACTTGATGATAATTTCCCTTTTTAAATTTTTCTTTTATATACAGTAGATCATTTCACCCCAAGAACATATTAAAACTGAGCATAAAAAAATCGTTATATAATTTAGTCTGTTTTTACTTAATAATGGTCATCCTTGTTTTTATGACCTTTTTTTTCCTTTGGCAAATGTGTCCATTTGCATTGCTTTCATATGGAAATAGTATCTAATGTATTTTTATATTGAACATTAGGGCTACATCACTTTAAAACCTTGAGAGGAAAACAGCTAAACTGCTTTTAAGAGCAGCAACTTTAAACCAGATCCTTTCGATGCTGGAAATGCTCTTTTTTTCTAGTAGCTTTCTGTGATTTTTATCTGGAATAAATTGATTTGATTTTCCAGTTCCATTCATTAAAGGTACAGTGCACTCAGAGTGTGGGAGAGGGAGAAAAGAGTGTCTGTTTGCAAATCTGACGCATTACTGTTGACTCCGAGCTGTCAGAGCTTTTCTATTCTCTTCATTAACTCTGTCGTCACGCTGATGGTGTTTGTTCAGAACATGCTAGTGTGTGTATATCTGCATGGCAGCAATAATTTATGACAACAGCAGAGCCTAATGAAGTCATAAGAGCTAATGCATATTCACCTGTGAAGGGCTGGAGCCTGTGCTTGGGAAATGCAGGCGGGTTTTTTTGTGTTCACTCACAGCCAGGCTGGAAAATAATAACTAGCAGGCCAGGAAACAACCGGATTGGATTGTGTGATGTGGGGAATACTGACATACAGAAAATATAGATATAAACACACACACACACACACACAATTATTTATAGTTGCAAAAAAAGTGTAATATAGTGTAATGTATATTTTACATGTAACATTTTATATAATTTTTGTTAAAATAAATGTAAATATGAATATATAATATTTGAATAATGTAATAGTTATATTTATAATGTAGAAAGTTTTGGTATATTGTTATTACTGTAAAAAATGCAAAGTGTATGAATAATGTTTATATAACTTTATTCATACATTTAGCATATTGCATGTTAATGTAAAACATTTGCAATGTTTCTTTTAGAAAACTTCTCAGAATTTAAATATATTCAAATTTAATGTACGAAATATGATATATATATATATATATATATATATATATATATATGTCTGTGTGTGTGTATAGCATTTTTATGTCAATATATTTTAATAAAATTAATTTGTAATGTTTCTCTTAGAATTGTATAGAATTTTCTAATATATATATATATATATACATATATATATATATATATATACAGGGTAAGAATGTTCTTTTTTCATTCTTTTTACAGCTTTATGAACTGTTTTTATCAACAGTTTCAGGCCTTATTTCTATCCAATTCAGTAAAAGTGCCTTGTGCAGACAGTTGAAATAATCAGGACAGGAATAGCTGAATGCAGTTGTAATCTGCAGACCCAGTTAAATTGAAGCACGGGTCTCAGACTTAGATGCACTTATTTGCCAGCACACTGTTTACTGGTTGTATGCGGTCGTGTTGCATTGTGCCATTCCTCAGAGCGATTGTAGCTAATGGCCGACCGATTCGGGATTTGTCGTGCTGTGCTGCGCCACATCCAGTGTAGGCCGCATCACTGATTGTAATGGGTTCTATAGTATTTTGTCGCATCTGGTGTAGACATGATGCGAGTCTTCAGGCAATTTTTTATTTTTCGTTATTGCTTCAATGCAAAGGAAACCAGTCCGCCCACCACGCCATTATTTGTTGCGTAGTGACGGGTACAGGGCTGGACTGGGGTTAAAATTCGGCCCTGGACAAATCCAGCCTATCCGGCCCTCAAGTTCCCCTGTGAATGTTTTGCTGTGTTATAGGGCCTTCAATTGGAGTAAGTAAATAAATAAATAAATGAGGACAAAAACAAATAATGA